TGAACACCCTTGAAAAATAATCATTAAACTCATTTACTCATTTTTTTCACTTTGCAGATATTGAGCAGCAGGGCTCAACATAATAGTGGAAAATACCAATTAGCCTTATTTACACAAGCATATGAGCTGGAATCCTCAGACATTAATATTCTCATGCCTTAAATGATTGCTTAGGTATAAAGATAAAACATACATTCACTTTTAACAAAAAAATACAATGATATCAGTACAAAATGTTTTTCAAGAGTTTAATTTCACAGAATGAAAGCATTGAAAGCATCATTACACACCCTGACTCAGTGCTCCTTGATTCTCTGTTTGAACACAGCTCTCCAGTTGACAGCGACAGCAACAACAACAGCGATAACAAAGCGCAGTTCTCTTCACAGATTGGCTGCTGGTGTCTCAGGGGCCCTGCGGCCAGGACCTGCAAGAGGCCGATCTCTCTCCTCCCAAAGAGTGACTCCATCACAGGCACAGATCATCTTTGGGTTTTGGAAAAGGCCAGCAGAGCGAGCGATGATGCCACAGGCAAGACTAGAAAAGCAGACAAAGATGACCAAATAAGCCATATACTCCCACACATGCAAATCATACATACAAATACATCTTGGTAATGTGGTTGCAAATCAAACTATTCTGGAACACACAAATGCAAACATAACACATAAGTCTACCATCTCACCTCTGTCCAGAATTTCCAGTTATTTTAGACAATGGATGGCCTCCTGCACCAAGGTCATCCTCTCCAGAGTCCACAACCAGAGAGCGTCCAATAATGTCCCACACCTGGAAGGACATGAAATGCTGCAAACGTTTAACAAATAGCAAATAAGTCAGCGAGGTAACTCTAGGTACTGTAACTAGTAACAATAACTTTGCACTAATTTATCAAAATGACAATTTTCTGTAGGAATGCATGGATATGAGTGGACTCCATACCCATGGATAGCAAAAGCGCGATGGAACCCTGACTGTCAGGTGTTCTACATTTCTAAAGAGAATTTAAATTTTACTAAGGGACAGCCTAAGGAGAAAGTGCCACCTTCAACTGAGAGTCCTCCAGTCGGAACAACGCCCTGCCATCTGGTCCTGCTAGGATATTTCCCAGGTCACCTGCATGCTGAGACAAAACATTTTCATATTAACAAATTACCATTCATGGACGCTTTGTTAGTCTCCAGGCAGTATCACCCAGACCCCGTAACACATATAATCAAGCAACCAAAGGCCGAGATAATAAAGTTTGTATTGCTGAACAGCAATCCAGGGTTTTTCAACTTATCTTAAACCAAGGACCTTTAAAGGAAAACAGGCAAGAGCTAAATACCCCCTAGCTAGTGGTGGTGATATGGTCAAAGTGTTGTATCATGATACTTTCAGTTAGAATCACCATCCATAGATCACAGTTTTTTTGGTTTGTTTGCCACCAAACTGCTATATGAGTCTTGCTACACAGGCACTTGACGATTTGTTGTGTCGTTATAATAAAAGCGTTAAGTAGAGCACTTATAACTGGGCATTCACTGGAAGCTCAGCCTAGCTGCACTTATGCCTAGTCGACTCCTCCATAGCACGTAGCCTTTAGCATGTAGCATTACCTGCATTGCATTACTTGTGACAAAAGCATCTGCTAAATAAATGTAAATGTAGTGCTGTACCACGATTCTTGCGATAACTCAAAACACTTATTGTGGATACAGTGACAACTTGTCATGATAAAATATCATATCACCCACCACTACTCCGACCACTAATGTGTGATCATATACGTAACTAAGAACTAATTTTCTGTTCCAAGCAAGAAGGGGTTCCCTTTGAATATTTTCCCTATTCTGCAGATTATGCAAACCCCCCTACAAGGGTGGACCTCAGGCTGAAAACCCCTGGCCTAAATCAAATATGACTGTTAACTGTTTCTCTCAATTGTTTTGTGGTATTTAATAACATTTATAAACCACAAGTTTATTCCCCAAACCATAATGTCACATCCACACATCCGAATGTCATTTTTCATTGCTTCACACAAATTTCCAAATGTTTTATTACATGTATGCAAATGTTTTGTAAAATTGTCATCATATAGCAGAATTTTCAGTTGCTTTATTCTTCTTCGTCAAAATAGATTTAAAATGAATAATTTTACACCGAAAACTACACGTGATCATTGTGTTAGCCACCACATGCAATACAGTTCACTAAACTGTCAAAAATATATTTCATAAATTGCAGTGAAACGGCATTGTTGTATTTTTGGTTTGTACAGAACATGATTTTTTTGCCATTTTGCTGTTGTTGTGTTATACAGTGCTGTGTGTCTTTTTGTTTGCTATTGTACTGTCTTGAGATCTGAAAACTGCGTGCGAGTGCTTTCCAGTGAACTTTATATTAAGTAACATAGAACCATACAATGTTGAAACTGGCGTCTTTGACAGGAATAAGTATCAGTTTGCAAAAGAAGAATGATCAGTCAGTGACAATGAGAAAGTGGGAAATAACTATCATTCAGAATTGTGGAGTATAATTATACTAACATTTTGACAGTATATCTAAGCATTTTGACTCATGGTTAAAATGGTGCTGAAGGTACTTTTCATTTTGATGGCACTGACTGATTGATTGATTGAATTTTTTGCTTTTACAAGGTGCGCAGTCAAACACAAAATGCCAAAATACCAAAAAACTACAATATGATAAAATACAAGACAAAGGTTTGCCATTTGCCTTACTCTGTCTGATTTATTCTGTCCCTGATACTGGGTCACGTGTGTTCACTGTGGAACTTAGGAACATACTTACACTGATATGTTAAGCATGTTTCATGAAATATGCCAAAGTAATTGAGAAAAACTGTAATATTATTGCACGGAACAACTATACTACTGCTTGTGCCAAATAACACCAACAACATACACAGCTCTCCATATGGTACCATGTAATGAGGAAGTCATATCATGCAGAAACAAATGTATTTTGTACCCTCTCTGTGTCCTGGGGTGCACCGTGTTGTCTTCCAAAGGGATTGTAATGCTCCCCACAGCTATGGAAAGACATGAAAAAGTCAGGTTTATCTTCCATGGTTACTGAAGCAAGTTTCAAGGTGAGGAAGATAATCTACTGACACATTTAAGAATCTCAAACAGGCATATTCACATTAGATAAATCTTATATAAATGTTATACAAATTTTCTGAATGTTTCAACATGATCATACAATACAAATTCCTTCAAACAGGATTATGTGTGGATAGAGGATTTAAAACAGATATGTTACAAATCTGTAAGCCATACAAGTCGGTGCCAAAATAAAGGAAACAGCAACAAAAAATGTCTTCAAAGGCTGTTTTTCCAGCACACACTGGCAGAGACAGTGCACCATGGCATATATTCTACGAGTGCCTGAGGGATCTCATCACTCAGCCATGTGTGCCAGGCGGTGGTGCTGGTTTAAAATATCCCATCAGTATTCACTCATGCTAAGAGAGGTGATAGAGCGATAAAATATGGTTTATGATTTCATTTTCATGCCTGGAGATCCTGACTGAAGAAAGTAGACCCTGCAGGCTCCTTTAGGGCAGTGCCAATGGTGATATTTCAAGCATTTTTATGCATCACCTGAAATACGATGGGTTGTTAAGATCCCAACTTTGCCAAACCACACCTTTCTGGAAGTGTGTGCTTCAGGTACACCATATTTCTCTCAGTCAAATATTTCCTTTATTTTGGCAGTTACTTGTATATTGAGGGATTTTTGATGAGAGTAATTAGACCAATGTCTACATTATATTCAATTCAGTATCAAGTGTACAGCACTGTACAAGTCTTAGGTAGTCAAAAGAAATGTGTAAAGCTATTTATCAGAGTAGTAAGTGTACATTTCCTCAGAACAAAAAAACAATTTAACATTAGAACATGTGCAAATTAAGAGTAACAATAAAAACTAGTAAAATATCTTCTGTTTTCCAAAAAAATTAGTGGTATTTCATTGGATGGCTAGATGAACACTGCTTCAGTTCCCAAACCTCTCTTCAGTGGCACCTCAGCCATTCCATGTATTCATTACATTTTCCAACCACCTCACTTAATCAATTAACTTAATTAGATTAAAAAAAAAAAACATCAATTGCATACTGATTAGCTGTACGAGGTGTGTTAGTGGTCAAGTCAAAAAATACATGGGTGTACTGTATGGCTGCTGGAAATAGTGGGGCGATTTTAGGGATTGAAATGGCTAATATAAAAAAGAGAGGAAAAAAATGGCTAAGCTAACACACTTTGACAGGCATAACAACATAAATTTACATTTAAACAATTTTCTTTGGCTGCCTATGACTTTTGCACAGTAATGTGTGTATTTGCTAATGGTAGTGGGGACTGTTGGGGGATACCTCAGGCAGTCCTGTGTGAGATCGCCAAGCTCATGGACATGTAAGCCATGGAGGCCCGGCTGCAAGCCGTCAATGGTCCCGTCAATCAGGCAGCGCTCAGGGGTGACCTGAAGGAAGCGCACCACACCCTGGATGGAGCCCATGCCGCCGAGCATCGCCACTGCCGCACCCAGGTCTGGAGCACAAGTTCCCCCACATTCTTAGCAATTAGGGCTGCAACTAACGATTATTTTGAGAATTGATTAATCGGTGGTGAGATATTGGCAACCCTGCACTGCTGATCTGCATCTGCGTCATGATGAAGATGCCTGATTTGACTCTGCTGTGACAGAAACATTTAACTTTTACTGGAAATGAAGCACCAGCAACATTTGTGTACATAATGACATAAGCAACGTAATGAAGTAAACAACTAATCAATTAGTAAATTAAGAACATAAGAAATTTACAAATGAGAGGAGGATATTCGGCCCATCAAGTTTGTTTGGGGAGAACTTAACTAATAGCTCAGAGTTGTTAAAATCTTATATAGCTCTGATTTAAAGGAACCCAGGGTTTTAGCTTGCGCTACACTAACAGGAGGACTATTCCATACTCTAACTACATGCTGTGTAAAGAAGTGCTTCCTCAAATTCATTTTAAAATGTTCTCCCGCTAATTTCCACTTATGGCTATGAGTTCTAGTATTTAAACTAATATTGAAATATCCATTTGGCTGAACAGCATCCAGACTTGTTAGAATCTTATAGACCTGGATCATGTCCCCCCTTAGTCTCCTTTGCTCAAAGCTAAACAGATTCAGCTCAGCTAACCTCTCCTCATAAGACATTCCTCTAAGACCAGGAATCATTCTTGTAGCCTTATGTTGAACCCTTTCCAAGGCAGCGATGTCCTTCTTAAGATATGGTGACCAAACCTGCACACAGTATTCTAGGTGGGGTCTTACCAAGGAATTGTATAATCGTAGCATCACCTCCCTTGACTTAAACTCCACACACCTACAGATGTAACCCAACATCCTATTGGCCTTTTTTATTGCTTCCCCACACTGGCGAGAGTGGGACATGGAAGCATCAACATACACACCAAGGTCTTTCTCATAATCAGCTACCTTTATTTCAGTGGAACCCATAAAATATCTGTACTTTATATTTCTACTCTCTGCATGGATTACCTTACATTTATCTACGTTAAATTTCATTTGCCTGTGCCTCATACATGAGTGGAAAATTAAAATGCAAATGGTACTATTTCATTTGAATTTCCATTTTTGCAGGATTTTTGCGCACAGACTTTGGAACCCAAATGGCAAAGTGGTGATTGTATTTTCTTTTTATTATTTTCATTTTATTTTTTGCAGAAAATACCTCCCATAGGTATCAGCCCAGTCACTAATTAAATCAAGATCCCATTGTAGCCTCTGTACTGCTATATCAGGGTCTGCTACACCACCCACCTTGGTGTCGTCAATTATTATAATAATTGATTATATCGATTAGTTGTTGCAGCCCTAATAGCAGTGCGCACACAAAATATAAATGCATACATATACCGCGCACGCACACACGCACACACGCACGCACACACACATGCACGCACACACGAATGTCTTGTGCAGGGTCCCTATGCGGAGCCTCACCTTGCCCGGAAGTGCCCACTCCTTTCAGCACCGCGCGCCGCCCTGTGCTCTCAATCAGCGCCTGCACCTCCTGAGACATTAGTGTGGACTCCACCAGAACTTGCTCCTGTGCCAGGTCTATTGCCACAGACTGCACTCCTTAAGTCAGAAAGGTATAAAGCAGTGCATAACGACAAAATTTATATTGTAATAATGTAGGCACCCTGAGAAGTTTCCATTTTTTAGTGACCTCACTGCTTAGCAAATACTCATCCAGGGTTAAACATTCGGGTTTCACACCAATTATCCAGACCAGGAGATTAGCAGATAACCTGCCGGTTTCTGACTGAGCACCCTGAACTAATAATTCCTTTAACACAGTTATAACACATGCACTCACATATACTAGACTTAAAGAAAGAAATATGGACCATTCACATATTTGTAATTTTGATAAAACAAAAAAACAAACATACTAATCAATGTTACATACATAGTGAACTGCTGATGTTAGTCTGAGAATCCAGTTGTGCACATTTTAATAATCGAGTGTAAAAGACCACGTAACCATCTACTTAGTGTGTGCCCTGAGAAATACAAGCAAAAAAACTGACATCAAGCCGTAAGAATGTTGCTGCCTGTCATGGTGACAATCCAATAACCTGCTGGTGGACACCTACAGTAAAGGAAGCTGTTGGGCTGAAGAGTGGTTAGCTTGTGGGACTCCTGAAGCAGCTGATAGGCAACACCAGGTCAAAAGGAATATGACTTTAGCAGTAGTGGAAGCAAAAACCGGGTTTTGGAGATGTTTGCTGAATGTAAAATGACTGTCAGTCGGCCTCGAAAAGATTCTGGCAAATCATAAGGTGAGGGGGAAACAGAACTTTACCCAGGCTGTTTACAGGAGGCATGGGGTGTCGCTGACCTCAAATGGGGATATAACCAGGCAGTTCAAAGAGTATTTCAAGGACCTCCTGAATCCCACTGACATTCCTTCCTCGGAGGAAGTTAAGTTGGAAGATCAGTCACACAATGTCACTTTTTTTCCTGTTTCCACCAAATGGTTTGTACGACTGCTCTGGAACACCCCTACATGCGTAAACTTTTTCAGGGTATGTTTTATTTATGTTATTTCTTTATAAATCCCAAACTTGCTGTTTTCCACAGAATACGGAGATGGGAATGACATTACACCCGAGTTAACTGCATTCCAGTACAAGTTGGAAATCCATTTAGGAATGCCATTTCTAGCCAGGATCCTTGTTACCCATTGTTGGTAATACCAGTTGATAACAACGCATTAAGGGGTATTTTGTTCATAGAAATATCTACAGATTGGACAATACTGTGTCCACAACCAATTTCACCAAAAAGTATTGGGACACCCGTGCAAATACAGTGGTACCTCAGAACTCGAATTTAATCTGTTCAGAACTCCGGATCGAATCCTAAAAAGTTTGAGTTGTGATCGAATTTTCCCCATAAGAAATAATGGAAAACCAATTAATTGGTTCCCGGCCCCAAAAAATTACACCTAAATATGCATTTAAACACAAAATGAACCAGATAAAACAAGAAGAGCATATACTGTACTAAACACATCTAAGTATATTTATCAAAACAGTAATTGGTAAAGTAAGAAAATAAATGTATCCAAACAATGTGTCCTGCCATCAACCGTCCACCCCTTCCATGTGCCACGCCTGCTAGTTCAGTATCTGCTACACCACCCAACTTGGTGTCATCTGCAAATTTCACCAGTTTACTGTATATATTGGTGTCTATATCATTTATGTAAATTAGGAACAACAGTGGTCCTAAAATTGAACCCTACGATACCCCACTATAAACGCAGGCCCACTGTGACATTGTGCCTCTTATAACTACTCGCTGCTTCCTATCTGTTAACCATAGGGATGTAACGGTATTGTAAATACCATCGTACCGCAATAGCAAATTTTTTCGATACTACCGTGGTCGCATGACTCGATAAAACGATAGGTCTTCTGAGAAAAGTTTGCTCAGGCGAATGGAGCGAATGGGAGGTAGCGGGAACTACAATTCCCATCAGCCCAGGCGTGGTCATCATCCTTTGCGGTCTGTTGTCGCTACAGACCCAGTAATGCGGAAATGGCGGGTGCTGCTAGTAGCGGCGAAGGAAAAGAGATGGAAATACTAAATTGAAACTTTATTTTTTTACATGGTTTAATAATTTTTTGTTATTAAAATTGAAAAATTGAAGTTCCTGTTTCAAAGTTTACAGATAGATGGCTAATTTGTATGCCATTGATATGTTCAGTGTTCATGTAAACTGTTTAATAAACACTTCTGGCACTTTTTTCGAGTCTCTTCATTAGTTTTGTTTTTCCTGTAAATGATTCAATAAATACCGTACCGTGCCATTCATACCGAGGTATTACCGTACCGTGAAGTTTTGATACCGTTACATCCCTAGTTAACCAGTTATCAATCCAGGTCGTTACAGTTCCTAAAATACCTGTCGCTGTCTATCATTGTCTAAATGTATTTTTACTGTCTAAATATTTGCATTCAGCTAGTGTAAACATGCACGATGCTATCACAGTGAATGCGAGGCTGAGACTGAAGCTTTATCCTTTGTTTCCGCTGAGAGACGTGCCGCGTGACTCATTTCCCCGCGCATACTTAGGTGGCCATTCACGGTTTGACTTCTGAGATTCAGATCGAGTACTAGGTAATTTTTTTCTGAACTGGTTGGTTCAACTTTTAAGAAATTCGAGTCCTAATGAGTTCGAGAACCGAGGTACCACTGTAATTGAATTCAGGTGTTCCAATCACTTCCATAGCCACAGGTGTATAAAATGTAGCACCTAACATGCAGACTACTTCTACAAATATTTACGAAAGAATGGGTCTCAGGAGCTCAGTGAATTCAAGCGAGGTACCATGATAGGGTGCCACCTGTGCAATAAGTCCATTTATGAAATTTCCTCAATACTAAATATTCCACAGTGAACTGTTAGTGGTATTATAACAAAGTGGAAGCGGCTGGAAACAGCAGCAACTCAGCCACAAAACAGGCCACGTAAAATCACAGAGCGGAGACATGCAGAAGTTGCCAACTGTTTGCAGAGTCAATAGCTACAGACCTTCAAACTTTGTGTGGCCTTCAGATTAGCTCAAGAACAGTGTGTAGAGAACTTCATGGGAAGGGTTCTCATGGCTGAGCAGCTGCATCCAAGCCTTACATCTCCAAGTGAAATGCAAAGCGTCGGATGCAGTGGTGTAAAGCAGGCCGCCACTGGACTCTAGAACAATGGAGATGTGTTCTTTGGAGTGATGAATCACATTTCTGTGTCTGGAAATAGACAAGTGTGGGTTTGGCGGTTGCTAGGAGAGCAGTACTTGCCTGACTTCATTGTGCCAAGTGTAAAGTTAATGCTGCAGAAATCGAAGCCATTTTGGACAGTTTCATGGTCCCGACTTTGTGGGAACAGTTTGGGGATGGCCCCTTCCTGTTCCAACATGACTGTGTACCAATGCACAAAATAAGGTCCATAAGGACATGGATGAGTGAATCTGATGTGGAGGAGCTTGACAGAGCCCTGACCTCAACCTGATAGAACACCTATGGGACGAATTAGAGCGGAGACTGAGAGCCAGACCTTCTCGTCCAACATCAATGCCTGACCTCACAAACGCTCTCCTGGAAGAATGGTCAAAAAGTCCCATAAACACACTCCTTGTGGACAGCCTTCCCAGAAGAATTGAAGCTGTTATGGCTGCAAAGGGTGGGCCAACTTCATATTAAAGACTATGTAATAAGAATGGGATGTCATTAAAGTTCATATGTGTGTAAATGCAGGTGTCCCAATATTTTTGGCAATATAGTATATACACTCACCTAAAGGATTATTAGGAACACCTGTTCAATTTCTCATTAATGCAATTATCTAATCAACCAATCACATGGCAGTTGCTTCAATGCATTTAGGAGTGTGGTCCTGGTCAAGACAATCTCCTGAACTCCAAACTGAATGTCAGAATGGGAAAGAAAGGTGATTTAAGCAATTTTGAGCGTGGCATGGTTGTTGCTGCCAGACGGGCCGGTCTGAGTATTTCACAATCTGCTCAGTTACTGGGATTTTCACGCACAACCATTTCAAGGGTTTACAAAGAATGGTGTGCAAAGGGAAAAACATCCAGTATGCGGCAGTCCTGTGGGCGAAAATGCCTTGTTGATGCTAGAGGTCAGAGGAGAATGGGCCGACTGATTCAAGCTGATAGAAGAGCAACTTTGACTGAAATAACCGCTCGTTACAACCGAGGTATGTAGCAAAGCATTTGTGAAGCCACAACACGCACAACCTTGAGGCGGATGGGCTACAACAGCAGAAGACCCCACCCGGTACCACTCATCTCCACTACAAATAGGAAAAAGAGGCTACAATTTGCACGAGCTCACCAAAATTGGACAGTTGAAGACTGGAAAAATGTTGCCTGGTCTGATGAGTCTCGATTTCTGTTGAGACATTCAAATGGTAGAGTCAGAATTTGGCGTAAACAGAATGAGAACATGGATCCATCATGCCTTGTTACCACTGTGCAGGCTGGTGGTGGTGGTGTAATGGTGTGGGGGATGTTTTCTTGGCACACTTTAGGCCCCTTAGTGCCAATTGGGCATCGTTTAAATGCCACGGCAATGCCATTGTTTCTGACCATGTCCATCCCTTTATGACCATCATGTACCCATCCTCTGATGGCTACTTCCAGCAGGATAATGCACCATGTCACAAAGCTCGAATCATTTCAAATTGGTTTCTTGAACATGACAATGAGTTCACTGTACTAAAATGGCCCCCACAGTCACCAGATCTCAACCCAATAGAGCATCTTTGGGATGTGGTGGAACGGGAGCTTCGTGCCCTGGATGTGCATCCCACAAATCTCCATCAACTGCAAGATGCTATCCTATCGATATGGGCCAACATTTCTAAAGAATGCTTTCAGCACCTTGTTGAATCAATGCCACGTAGAATTAAGGCAGTTCTGAAGGCGAAAGGGGGTCAAACACCGTATTAGTATGGTGTTCCTAATAATCCTTTAGGTGAGTGTACATACACACACACATACATATAAAATTGACTGATATATACTCAAACATCGGATTGTGAGTAACT